GCTCGGGTCATGGTCTCAGGGTTGTGAGATGGAGTCCCGTGTTGAGCCCTGCTTCGCAGAGTCTGCTTGACATTCTCCCTCTCTCTCTGCCCCTCCTCCCACTCATGGGCTCTCTCTTTCTCTCTCTGTCTAAAATTAAAAACCACACACACACACACACACACACACACAAACACACCAAACAAATCCAACCCTCTTGGCCACTGGTGGATGATCTACCATTTGCAATCTTGTGGCTCACAATCCCATCTGGCCATTCATGTTTGGAGAACTCATGGATGAAGTCAATGAGATGACACAAGTGAGGTTTGCTAAATATCTAGAAATAGGAATAATTAAGTGTATTGTGATTCCATTCACTGGATGAAATATTCTACATCTAATATATGTTTATGGCATTTGTGTAAAACAGAGAGATGCTTATATTAGGAGGAAAAGTAATCACAACTATGATGAAAAAATATACCCATAAACTAAGATACCAGAAAAGCAGAAGAGAAAGAAAGAAAAGGCCTGTGTAGAAATACTCTGAAATAGTATTTGTCTTTGGGCAATGGAAATATGGGTGATTATTCTGCATTTTCTTCATACTTTCCTGCATTTAAAACTTTTTCTGTATCAAGCATGTATTCCATGCTTAAAATGGAAAGGAGAGTTCTTTCTGCATTCCTACAGAGATGGGCAAAAGGTGAAACCAATTCAATTTAGATACTTTCACCTGGAACTGGAAATTTACAGGGGGAAAAAATCCACACTTTTGTTCCTTTGGGCAGTGACAGGAGACAGTGAAAAGAGAGGTGTAGATGGGAGGAAAAGGGAGAGGCGATACACCGGCCACTCTTGTCTCACGCTTAAAAGATACGTGACCACAAGCCAGAGAGACAAAAGTCAACAAGATAAAGGAGTTTTTAAATGGAGACTGAGGCCAAACAAGTTCTTAAAATGTCATTTTTCTAGTCAAAGAAAGGCAGCCTAAATAGTGGGGATTTATTTGCTTATTTAAAAATTATTTTAAAACAGAAGGTTTATTGTTGATTTCTTTCATTATCAATATAACTATAAAACACATGCCATTTTCTGGAAGAATTCTTTTGACAACAAAAGCTGAAAATCCTTTCAGGCCATTTTGGGAAGATGTGCTAGTTTAAGAATAAGCTATCTGGGGTCCCTGGGGGACTCAATCGGTTAAGCATCTGACTCTTGGTCTTAGGATCGAGCCCTGCATCCTCCCTCTCCCTCTGCCCCTTTCCCCTGTGCTCAAGCGCTCTCTCTCTCCCAAACTGTTTTTATGGATTTTTTATTTTTATTTTTTATTTTTTTAAAAGATTTTATTTATTTATTTGACAGAGAAAGACACAACGAGAGAGGAACACAAACGGGGAGTGGTAGAGGGAGAAGCAGACTCCCCGCCGAGCAGGGAGCCCGATGCGGGACTCGATCCCGGGACTCCAGGATCATGACCTGAGCCGAAGGCAGTCGCTTAACCAACTGAGCCACCCAGGTGCCCCGTTTTTATGGATTTATTAAGAAATCCCTGCCATAGGCCCTGGAAATACCCAAAGTCTGTAGAGTGAAATAGTAACAATAATAATAACAATAATAATAATAATAATAACAACAGTTAAAGTGAGCTGTTTCCATGCACTCTGGAGTGGGTTTTCCTATGCAGAAAAGACCAGTCAAAAGTTTACTTTCAGTTTTGTTTAATGATAGAGAGTTTGCAAGGATCCAGCAAACTATGGCCATGGGTCAAATTGACCCACTGCTGATCTGTATGGCCCATGGGTTAAGAATAGGTTTTACAGGGCGCCTGGGTGGCTCAGTCATTAAGCATCTGCCTTCAGCTCAGGTCATGATCCCTGCTCGGCGGGGAGTCTGCTTCTCCCTCTCCCACTCGCCCTGCTTGTGTTCCCTCTCTCGCTGTCTCTCTGTCAAATAAATAAATAAAATCTTTTTAAAAAATAGGTTTTACACTTATAAATGTTGGAAAAAGTAGAAAAAAGAATATTTTGTGACATGTGAAAACTGTACGAACTTCAAATTTCAATGTAGTTGCCACAGAGACCATATGTCCTGCTAAGTCTAAAATATTTACTATGTGACCCTTTTCAGAAAAAGTTTGCTGACGGCCGGTTAGTCTTTTAATTTATTAAAACAACAAATTCAAAACCTTGGTGTGTTCTTAAGCTTTTAAAAAAACCAGGTGGTGATTACACTTCTGTGAAACCACCAGGAACACAATCAAGATCCAGAACATTTCTTTCACCCCCAAGAGATTCTGCATGCCTCCTGTGGAATGTCCCTCCCTCTGCTCCCACAGCCCGATAGGCAACCACTGATCTGCTTTCTGTTACTATATATTAATTTGCATTTCCTAGAATTTTGTATAAATAGAACCGTATGGTAAGAACTCTTGGGCTTACCTGCCTGTTTTTACCCAGCGTACAGATTTTGAGATTCATTCATATTGTGTGTGTCAGTAGTTTGTTCCCTCTTATTGTTATGCTTTTAAAAAGTAAGCTTTTTAACTTTTAGTTTAAAAATGCTGTATTATAGAACATTTCAACATTTCACCAAAAAAGGCCAAAATAGTGCATGTACACATTATTTCTTTTACAGGTACTTCAATTACCTGTCAAGTATTAATTTTTATAAAGCTAAGCAATTATGCTTACACATATAGCACTTTAAATTCTCTTAGATGGCCTAAACTTCATAAGATTTCAACTTAAAATCAGAGGTTTATATCACTTACTCAATTATCCACAATTTTTACTTTTTATTTTATTTTTAAAAAAATATTTATTTGAGAAAGAGTGAGAGAGAGAGCACAAGATGGGGGAGGGCCAAAGAGAGAGGGAGAAGCCGACTCCCCATGGAGCAGGGAGCCTGATGTGGGGCTCTGATCCCAGGACCCCAAGATCATGACCTGAGCCGAAGGCAGACGCTCACTGACTGAGCCACCCAGGTGCTCCTTTTTTTATTTTTTAAAAGTTACTTGTTTTTTTAGTAATCGCCACACCCACCGTGGGGTTCAAACTCACGACTCTGAGATCAAGAGTAGCATGTGCTTCCTATTGAGCCAGCCAGGCACCCCTTGATCATACACTTTAAATTGTTCTTATAAGGAGGATCTCTTAAGCCAAATTCTCTGACACATTTGTAGCACAGAAAATATCTAACATGCCCAGATTTCCTTCTGATTACAGAAACATTACTATTATGGTTTTGACTCTCCCAAGCGTTCCATATTACTTATTTTTCTGGAGTAGAAAAATATGAAGCACTGGACAAGACAGTCACCATCCCAGCTATGCAAAGTGGTCTGCTAAGGAGGCAGATGCTGTCTCAATTAACTGAGGTAACTTAGAGCCAGAGATTTGGGTAGAACCTGAGTTTTTAAGCTGCATACATGCAAAGGTTTACTACCCCTACCACCATACCCCTCCTTTTTATAAACACTATGTAGAGGTCTTCAAAGCATGAAGGGTGTTCATTTTGGACTCACACAAGGTCTGCAGCTTTCTTGAGTCCACCTGTCCCTTGATTAGATTTGTAATGGTTTCTGATATATTTTCTATTTAACTCTAGAGATCTTTGAACTCCCTGGGAGCCACAGAAATATTTTTTCACTTATCTATTTTTACCTGCGAACACTAGAGTATGTATCTCCAATATATAAAAACTTTATTTTATTTATTACTTTTTAAAGTATGCTCCAAGCCCAACGTGAGCCTTGAACTTACAACCCCAAGATCAGGCCGCGCTCTTTCTGCCCACAGGTCCTGTCCCTGTGCTTTAATAAAACAACCCCAAGATCAAGAGTTGCATGCCCTACCGACTAAGCCAGCCAGGCACCCCTATAAGAACTTCAAAAAGTAGCCTTAGTGCCATTAGTTCATCTAACCAAATTAACAAGAATTAATTGATGTAATCTACTAACACTCTGTCCACCTCTTATTTCTCCATCTGTCTCACAAAGATGTTTTTACAATGTCTAATCAGAATCATAACAAGGCCATATATTGTATTTGGTTGCTACATCTCTAAAGGTCTTTTAATCTATTGCAATCTTCTGTACCCTTAAAGCCATTGATTTTTTTGAAGAAACTGGATTGTTTTCTATAATTTCCCACATTCTGGATTTGGCTGATGCTTCCAGGTGGTATGAACTCTTTAATTTTCTTTATCCCCTGTATTTCTAGTAGCGGGCTTGATTAGATTCAGATTCTTTTTTTTTTTTTTTTAGTCAAGAATACCTTGTGGGTGGGTAAATAAGTTCTCTAGCAAAGACCTTTGAACCTGATAGGTTCTATTCTTTTGTATTGCTTCTTCTTCTTCTTCTTTTTTTTTTTAAGAGTTTACTTTGAGAGAGAGCACATGTGCATAAGCAGGGGAAGCAGTTGAGGGAGAAGAGGCTCCCCGCTGAGCAAGGAGCCCGATGCGATGCGGGGCTCGGTCCCCAGGACCCCAGCCCAAGGTAGATGCTTAACCAACTGAGCCACCCAGGCGCCTCAATGAAGTTCCGTCATCTCATGGCTTTGAGTTCCATCTGCAGTCACAACTCACATAATAGCTAACTTTTCTCAAGTGCTTCCCATGGGCCAGGCACAACGACAACTAAGTAAGCACCTTACTTAACAACGCTCATTTAATCTTAGGAACATTTTGCAGAAGAGGAAACTGAAGCTTGAAGAGCTTGATTACTTTGACCCAGTTAGTGATAGTGTGAGTTCAGGGGTCGAACTAGGATCCCAGCTCCTGCTCCTTTCACCTTTGAACAATTCCACTTCGGGGTCTCTCCATTTTCCTGGTTCTCAAAGAAGCCTTCCGATACCAATTACACGGAAGTGGCTCCGTCCCCCTCCTCCCCTCCCCTCCCCTCCCCTCGTCGCCCCGCCCAGTCCCCCGGTCCCCTCCCCTCCCCTCGTCGCCCCGCCCAGTCCCCCGGTCAAGCCCTAGGGAGCTCCGGGGTAAAAAAAAAAACCACACTTCCCAGAGTGCACCGCGAGCGCGAAGGCCTCACTACCGGCGTCCGCTCGCCGGCGCCATTTCTGTCGAGGGGAACGGCAGTGCGGCCTGTGATCATGGCGCTGTTCCCGGCCTTTGCCGGTATTGGTGACGCTCCCAACAGCGGCAGCGCCCGGAAAGGTAAGCACACAGAGGGGATGAAGAAGGCACTCGCGGGCAGACGACGGAGTTTCTCGGTCCTAGGTCTCGGCCCTTGCCTTGGATTTGTTTATCCATTTGTATCCCAGAGTTCTCCGCGGCGCTGCAAAGACTTCTGGGAAGGGAAGCCCCCTGGTCTCATCCTGGCTTAAGTGAAGAGCTGTAGAGCAATGGATGGAGAAGGACCGAGGAGAGCCCATGGGGCTGGGGCTTCCATATTGTCATGCTGTTAGGCCCCATTCTTGCTCTGAGCCTCAGTTACTGCACCTGTGAAACGGAGATGCTAGTACTCCACATCGCAAGGAGATTCCTGATGCATATGCTGGGTGTTGTTACTACATCTTTCGTCCTTTCCCGTTTTACTTATTTCTGGACCGCTCAGTGGGTTCATAGCTTTTGGCAGACCTAGAGCTGGGGATTAGGATCCAGAGCCTAACTGAACGCAGTTTCTCTCCAGAGGAACACAGATGCTGGGAATCAGAACTGTTTATTGAGGGTCTCCAGGTGATGGCATTACATACTCTATTTAGCCTTAAACATACCCAGGAGATGTGCATTATTAAAAATTGAGACAGGGAATTGTCATTTAAAGTAATTAATCCTAGATCATGCACTTACGTGGCAGAGTCCCATTGTGTCTGACACCTCTTTTATATTCTCTGATAGTTCCTACACTTCTATTTTGGTAATGCTCTTCATAATTTTGAGTCATCTGTTATATAATCAGTGTAAGTTTTGGCTGTTTCCTTACTACCTGCAGCCTATTGACAAGTCCTTAAAACGGGCAGAGTGAAAATCCTCTAGGAACTCAGCTGCCTCAGTGTTTATACTTTGTTAAGGGCAAAAGGTCCTGGAAAGCTTGCTTCCAAAATTCCTTAGACTTAGGCTATCCCTAACCCTCTCCCAACTTGAAAGTATAAGGGGCCACTCCTCATGACCCCAGTGCTGCTCTTTCTGCCCAAGGGTCCTGTCCTTGTGCTTTAATAAAAGCACCTTTTTGCACCAAAGGCGTCTCAAGAATTCTTTCTTGGCCCTCAGCTTCGGACCCTAATGTCTTCCCTACATCAATAGGTATTTTTAAAAAAGTAGCAGAAAAAGTAAGATGTTATAGATGTCACAGGTGAACTACAGGAATACTGACTTCTGATGGGAGGTTCAAAGAAGGTTTATTTAGGAGATAACTTTGGTGATGGGTCTTCAAGAGGGTAGGATTTGGACAGATGGAGATAGTGGAAGGGCATTCCAGAGCCTTCAAAGCCATGCAGGAAGGAAATCGTGTGACCTCTGCAGAAAGTTGCAAATAGTCCTGTTTGTCTGAAAATATAGAGGCAAAAAGGGGAAGCCTTGGGAAATATGGTTGGGACTGGTGGTGAGGGAGGGTAGTGACTTGAGTAACAGGCCAGGGGTTTATCCTTTATTTGGGGAGGGTGAAATGGAAAGTTTACAGGGGAGTGTCACCCTTGTCATTTATCTTAACCAGTATTTATCAGACATTTTCTGGGTATTCAATGGCAGGGTAATGTTTGTAGAAGAGCTTTTTATGAAGCACTGTCTTTTTAAAAATTTAAACATTATCACTCCGTGAAATTAACTGTAATTCTTTAATATCATCTGGTATCCAGTCAATGTTCAAATTTTCCAAATTGTCTAAAAAATGGCCTCTTAATGCTGCTTCAGAAAGTCAAGATCCCAAAAGGATCCAACATTGTATTTTGTGGCTATATCTCTTAGGTCTCTTTTTAATATGAAATAGTTTCTCCTTCCCCTCCATTTTCCCTTGTGATATATTTGTTGAGGAAAATGGGTCATTTGTCCTATAGACACTTCACACCAGATCCTCCTGGTGACATTTAGTGTGCTTCTCTATCCCAGTATTCCCTGTGAGCTGGCGATTAGATCTAGAGAGTTAGTTAGATTCAGGTATAATTTTTTAAATTGGAGATACCTCATTAGGGTATTTGCTGTTGACTTAGGAGGATGTGCTGTCTAATTTTCTCTTCTTTTAGAAATGTTAAGATTGATCAGTGATTTCGTGGACAAGCCTGACCATCCATCAGTCTTTCACCTAATGATCTTTGCAGCCATTTATGTTTATTGCTTAGATGCATTATTTCATTGGAGTCACAAAATGGTTGTTTTCTAATTTTAACTTTCCTCCTATATTAGCATCAATTATTTTATAAACTTTCTGTCAACACTATTGGGATACCCTGAAATAGAATTCAGGCAAGAAAGACAGGATGAATGGTTGATTCTTTCCCTTTGTCACTGTTCAGAGAATGAGTTGGGGTTCCTGCAACTTTTAGAGGTCTCCCTCTTCGTTATAAACTCTCGAATTTTTAACACTTGTATTTCAATCCATTTGCAGATACTATTTTTCTAATGCTCAAATCATCCCATCTGTGGCTATTGGGAGTCTAATTAAGTTTGGTGTATGTCTTTTTGACATGACCCAGATGTCGTCATTGCTTCCTTGCCTTCTGGCCTAAAAGATGCCCAGAGCTCGTCACTTACGTGTTCCATTAGGACCTGGAATTGGCTGTTTCTCTAAAAACCATGGTTTTTTTTTTTTTAGTGGAAAATGGTATGGGAAGGTTAAAACCACACATTGGTGTCAGGAATGCTAATTGCACTGGGTCGTCATTACTTCTAGACATTTTGAGTGGTCAAAACCAGGAAGAGAAAAATACATCATGAATTCACCTTGATATTTCCAGGCCAAATTTAAGATTGTGAGATTACTTAATTTCTTTTTGTAATTTCTTTTGTAATTTATATGTACATTTATAATTTAATGTTTATATTTCTTTCCTCCTGAAATATAATTTTCCTCTGAAAATCTTAGTTCCTGGGGCACCTGGCTAGCTCGGTGGGTGGATCGTGTGACTCTTGATCTTGGGGTTGTGAGTTTGAGTCCCATGGTGGGTGTGCAGATTACTTAAAAATAAAATCTTAAAAAAAGAAAACTTAGTTATTAATGCCACCAGAACAATTGTGTATATGTTCAAAATAACAGTAGTAACATGATTAATACTAAATAGTTTAATATTTCTTTGTGGTTCTTTTGGTCCTTAGGACGTATCCTGCAGCAGATGTGTAGTCGAATGACTGTTTTAAAGTCACTTGAAATAGTTCTCTGAGTGGTTTTGTCACCAGTTTGACATATAGTTAGTATATTTGTTTTAATTTTTAGGGATTGCTTTTTTCTTCTTTTTGAATTGATCCTGTTTTATAGTGTTGTGAAACATTTGCATGGTCCTAAGGTTGAAATTGTAAACCAGGTATATTCAGAGGAAAAAAAGCCTTTCATTTCTCTTCCTCAGCCTGTTACTTTCCTTACTCTGTGGGTTAGAATTTTAATTAGTCGGGCTCCTGGGTGGCTCAGTCATTGGGCATCTGCCTTCGGTTCAGGTCATGGTCTCAGGGTCCTGGGATCGAGTCCCACATCGGGCTCCTTGCTTGGCAGGAAGCCTGCTTCTCCCTCTCCCACTCCCCCTACTTGTGTTCCCTCTCTCGCTGTTTTCTCTCTGTCAAATAAATAAAATCTTAAAAAAAAAAAAATTTAGTCATTGAGATCCTTCCATTTTTTTCTCCCTTAATACGAGTAACTACATTTCTTTCTCTTTCTTAAATGCATACTGTTCTGCATTTTATTTTATTTTTTAAATTTACTTCTTTATTTTACAGAGAGTGAGAGAGACCTTGAGCAAGCAGGGGGATGGGCAGAGGGAGAGAGAATCCTGAAGCAGACTCCCCTCTGAGCACAGAGCCTGATGCAGGCCTTGATCTCAGGACCCTGAGACCATGACCTGAGCCGAAGTCAAGTCGGACACTTAACTGACTGAACCACCTAGGCAACCCACTGTTCTGCATTTTATTTATTTTTAAAAGACATTTATTTTAGAGCGAGAGTGCAAGGTGGGGGAGGGTAGAGGGAGAGGGAGAATCTTTTTTTTTTAAGATTTTATTTATTAGAGAGAGAGAATGAGTGCAAGCGTGATCAGGGAAGGGGTAGAGGAACAAGCAGATTCCCCACTGAGTGAGGAGCTGGATAGAGGGCTCAATCCTAGGACGCTGAAATCATGACCTGAGCTGAAGTCGGATGCTTAACCGACTAAGCCACCCAGGTGTCCCAGAGAGAGATAATCTAAGCAGACTCGCCACTGAGTGCAGAGCCTGATAGGGCTTGATCTCATGACCCTGAGATCACGACCTGAGCTAAAATCAAAAGTTGGACACTCAACTGACTGAGCCACCCGGGCTCCCCACCTGTTTTTCGTTTTAGTTGAAATCCCAGAGATCACTCTACAGCTTGTGCATTCTACCGTATGAGATCTTCCTCATTTCTTTTGACTGATACACAGAACTCCATCATGTGATGTCATATGGTTTATTCAGACTGTTCCCTATTAAGAACATTTAGACTGGGGCGCCTGGGTGGCTCAGTTGGTTAAGTGACTGCCTTCGGCTCAGGTCATGATCCCAGAGTCCCGGGATCGAGTCCCGCATTGGGCTCCCTGCTGGGCAGGGAGTCTGCTTCTCCCTCTGACCCTCCTCCCTCTCATGCTGTCTCTCATTCTCTCTGTCTTAAATAAATAAATAAAATCTTTAAAAAAAAAAAAAAGAACATTTAGACTGTTTCCATTCTTCTGCTGTTATAAATAGAAGCACTGTACATTTTTTTTTTTTAGTTGACACACGATGTTACATTAGTTTCAGGTGGACAACATAGTGATTCCATCACTTTATACCTTATGCTCTGCTCACAAGTGTAGCCACACACCACTGTTACAGTATCTTTGACTCTGTTCCCTATGCTGTGCCTCTTATTCCTGTGATTTATTCACTCCATAACTGGAAGCCTGCATCTCCCACTCCCCTTCACCCATTTTGCCCATTTCCCGGCAACCCCTCAGTTCTTTGTATTTATAAATGATTCTGCTTTTTATTCAGTTGTTTTGTAGATTCTACATCTAAGTGAA